TAGTCACCAGAGGGGCTGCATGGGCAGCACAAAGAGCCCCAGCTTTGGAGCCAGGGAGACCCAGGCTCCCGGGCCTCTGGAGCCACTGTCCTTACCAACACGAGCCCCCGTGGCCTCGCCTGCTAACAGGGGAGAACACCTTCAGCGTCATTAGGGTGAGAAGGGCATCCTGTTGGTAAGGCCCCCAGTGGAGGGGCCCCAAAGGGTAGCCATTCTCTTCAGCTAATTTTCCAGGCACATCTCTACCAAAAAGGGTTCTGTGGGTTTCTGGGTAACCCGTGGGGCCAGGGGCGCAGCTGTTTGCTTCAGTGAAGTATCCCTGGTTAAATGTGTCATGATTTTACTGAAAAAAAAAAAAAATTGGGTTTCACTCATGTTTCGGACTGTCACCTCCAGCTGTTGGTATGAAATAGGACAAGGCTGGGGTATTGTTGCTGTTGCTTGGTTTTGCTGTGTATTTTAAGCGACATAAATGTGCAGAAGACAGGAACTTCCCCAAAGAAACTGGGGGTTGGTCGGCATTTGAAGGATGGGGCCGGGCTCGCTGCCATTGCCCAGGACTGTCCCAGCCAGCCGTCGCCAACCTTTCGAACCTCACCGGCCACCAGCGGTCCGTGGACCACCAGTTGGCAACCGCTGGTCCCAGCAACAGGGCGCACAGCCTGCCCACCTGGTCTCCACCCTGCCCGGGGCTGCCCCGGGCACAGCGGTTTCAGGCAAACAGCGCACCTCTGGGCTGCGGGATCGCGGCTTCCTGCCACCTGGCCGGCCTCCTCGCAGACATGGGGAAGGTGTGGTCTCTGTGCCTCCGTCAGTAAGGAAAATGCTTTCCTCCGGGCCTGTTCCAATACTGAGTGTTCCTCACCACCAAGAACCGCCATCTGCTCTCCCCAGCTCCCCTGGAAACAGCATGGTCACCATATCGTCCTAACAGCGATGCTGTGGGGAAGAGGGGGGCCCCTCCTCCACTTCCTGCTCCTCGCGCCCACTCCAGGGCCCCTCTGCATGCCCGGGGCCACCACGGGGGACATCTGTTTCCTGTTCCCTTTCTGCAAGACAGGGACTGACCTCGAAAAAGATCCTCCAGGAGACAGTGTGGAGGCTCGGTCCTAGGGCTTTCCTCTCCCCGGGTGGGGTTGGGGGGCGCACAGTGGGGCCCCACACTTCAACTTTCAGTCTGAGTTAGTGTCGACGCTTCCCTGCAGTTTGCTCCCCCCGAGCCCTGAGCTGTTGGCACGGCTCCTCTTATCCACGAAGCGCTCCTGTCTAGAACGTGTAGGTGGGACGCGTCCTAACAGCGATGCTGTGGGGAAGAGGGGGGGCCCTTCCTCCACTTCCTGCTCCTCGCGCCCCTCTGCGTGCCCGGGGGCCACCACGGGGGACATCTGTTTCCTGTTCCCTTTCTGCAAGACAGGGACTGACCTCGAAAAAGATCCTCCAGGAGACAGTGTGGAGGCTCGGTCCTAGGGCTTTCCTCTCCCCGGGTGGGGTTGGGGGGCGCACAGTGGGGCCCCACACTTCAACTTTCAGTCTGAGTTAGTGTCGACGCTTCCCTGCAGTTTGCTCCCCCGAGCCCTGAGCTGTTGGCACGGCTCCTCTTAACCACGAAGCGCTCCCTCGATGGCTTTCCTGTCTAGAACGTGTAGGTGGGACAGCTGTGGTCCGCGAATTTCCCGAGGCCCTTCACAGCAGGGAACTCTTCATGTACCTGAGGGTCAGGACGCAGCGTTGCCCTGTGATGCCGCTAACACCCCCGTCCAATAAACAGTCTTCTGGTGAATAATGGCCCTTCCTGTCCCTCCCGCCCGCCCAGCAGCTGGGAGTGCCGGTGAGCAGGGCACCCACGCCCTTCCAGAAACCCCAGGACTCATTTTGGGAAACACTTTCATAATTAGTGTCTTTCGAGAAACTGCTATTTATTTCTTTAAACTAATTTGATCTTTTCCAGATGTGATTTCATCCTGCATGAAGGGGAGGCCCGCCCCAAAAGCGTTCCACTTTCATTTTAAACCCGTCCTCTCTCACTCCTGTCCCCTCACTCATCAGGCCAAGCTTTCCTTTCAAGGACCCAGGTGCCCAACGCACAATTACATCCCAAGCACAGTTTTAGAAATCATTTATTTCAAACACAATTTTCACTTTAAATGCAAAATAGCTGATAAACACACACACACACACACACACATTGAAATACATATCATACTGACCCTTTGCCCCATATACAGACATCAGCCTTTGGTATTTGCTTTTAGGTAATTAAGTAAAAAAATAAAAACTTATAACTATTATTCTCATCTCCAAAAGAAAAGTTGAGGTATTTAACAGTTGTGTGATCGCCACCCAAAGATGGTTTCTCTATTAATTAACAGCCTTGCTACATGCTGTTCCAACCCATTCCTCTAAAGCAGATCTTGGTTCGAGCATATGTTCATAAAACTGACAATGTTCCTTAATAATCATTAAGGCTGCAAAATAATATTGAATGCCAGCCGTAATTGAAAAAAAAATAAAATAAAAATTAGCAAATACAAGAATCATTAAGGTTGCCATAGAAACACACCTGCGCTAGCACCCGAGTGCACATGATGCTGGCAGGACCCGAGCCAGGACGCCTTCCAGTCACAGCCCGGCTGCCCACGTGGGGCTCCATCCTCATGGTCTGAAAGACCAACAGTTGCCGCGCCTTCTCCAAATTAAGGTAAATTTCTCACTAACTCCACCTGGAGCTGGATGCCAGCTTCCTCCCCAGCGGAGTCCACCTTAGCGGAGGGCAGTACAGCTCAGCACCCAGCAGCAGGGCAACACATTCCTGAACGTTCTGCAGGAGACCCACACACCACGACCACACCCGCCTGCTCCCCTGGGCTCTGTTCGCCAACAGGTGGACTCCCGCCCCAGTCGCAGCAGCAGATTCCACACCCGATGAGGGGGTTCCCTGCCCCCACCCTCTCTCCCCAGGAGAGCAGGGACATCAACACAGAGTGAGCCCAGAGCCTGGTAGAAAACCAGTGTGCCCTGGGCCCCATCCGAGCAAAGGGCTCTCTGAGTTACCAATGGCTTCGCAGACACAGCCAATGCTACCCACCTGACATCTGAACCAATAGTTTCTTAATGCTACAAGAATTAATGACCACTTTAGACCTTGAACCAGCATATTTGTAACTTTTCCAGCCCAGAAGGATAAGCTGTCATGTGTAATATCGGCTGTCAGCGTGCCAACCGTTCGCATCTGGCCGTGGCAGACTGCTGCGGGTATTGGGTGAGGAGCATCATCGTTGAGGATAAAAGGCAGCACGTGAGCTGCAGAAACACAGGTGAGAATGACCAGTGGGTTGAAAATACAGGGTCACGGACCACAGATCCGAGGTCAGAGAAAGCTTAGGGTGTACACCTGTGTCCACTGAGCAACGCCCACAACCCAGAGAAGACAAACACTTTTCCTTCATGTACACTAGCTTATAAAGATGTAAAGGGGGGAAAAAAACAACCCTCTTCAATTAATAAAACAAAAAGCAGTTCCGTTACAATCATAACGAAAGCAATAACAATTTGGAGATGAAAGCTGCCTCGCTCTCGGTAATCATGAGCTATCTGACTTCACATCTTCCACTAGCACGTCTCCTCCGGCTTTGGTAACAGTGCTTGTGGTTAAAACCTTTATAAAGAGTTAAAGAACCGTGGGCAGAATCACCCTTTCTCAGGCAGTCTCTCTTTTTTTAAAAAATATTTCCCTTGAACAGCATTTTTGCTGTCCTCAAAGAAACACACACACACACACCTGCCTGCCTTCCGTCAAACTTACGAGAGTTGCCTAAGGCAGCAGTGGGGTCTGAAACGTGAGTCAAAGCCAGCCATGAAAATCACCCCTTGCCCAACATAGTAACAGTGTGAACCCAGCAAACCGCAAATACAAGGCATGGTCATGGCCATCCTTTGCCACCTGCCTGGTGCTGGTGGCTGTCTTTCCGAAAGGGCCGGCTCCTAGCAAAGGCTGTGGTCTGGTAACATGTTTGGTCCTCGGTTACCCAACAGATTTGAATCACAGCTTCATTCCGGGACACCCCGTGCTGCTGGAGGGCACTGGTCTGGGGAACCCCTCTCATCACTGAACTTTCAAAGCCCGGACAGAAAAGTGAGCTGAAGTGGGAGAGTCAGAGTCACGGCTAGACAGTTAGCTGAACTGAATCACATTCAAGGAACTAAAGAGGAAGAGGAAGGCATGGGGAGGGGAGAGGGAGGCAGGGGGCCATGAACCCCCCCACCCCCCCACCTCCGGATAACCAGGGCTCCTGGCTGTCAGGGGTGGGGGGTTGGCAACTGACCTTGCCTGGTAGCCGTGGGAGGCCACTTCCCAACACCAGCCCGGAAGCTGGACGCCAGGGCCTTCCCCACCGCCGGGGGGAGCCGTCCCAGGCTGCTCTTCCCTTAAATTAGAGAAGCAGGCAATGTCTTTCACTTTTAAGACAAAAACAAAATTTAGAATGAAACCAGAGTCTCTTCTCTAAGGGGAAAATCATTCTTTTTTTCTCCTCCTCTTTCCCACCTGACTCAGTTTTGTGCCAAAGAGTGTCGGCTTCTCCCCGAGCTATTTACCTACAGACCCCCAGCTAGCACGGGCCCTTACAGGCTCTCAGGGAAAAGCGATCAGCACTTCTTTAAAGACCAAATTAACATACACTCTTGCCGGGCTCTTCTGTCTTTTCACATGAATATGTTCCCTCCTCCGTACTCAGGCTCAGGTGAAAACTAAATTAACATTTTGAGTCCAACAGTTCGGCCTCCCCCACAATGGCGGGAGCCCTCCCCTAATGCCTTTCTCCTTCTGGGGGTAGGGGGGTAAAGGAGGGAGGAGAATAGTGGTTTTCAGACCCTGTCCCCACGCCCCTACTTCCTCTCTGCTTCTCTCCTCCTGAAGCCCTGGGGTCCAGAGAGGGAAACTGAGTCAGTGCAGTGTTCTGGCTTC